CTGTAGGTTGAAGAAAATTAGGGAATGCAGATATCAACATGGACGTTGATTGGATTAATTTAATTTTAAAGTATTATAACATAATTATTTTAATCTTCATGTTATGTAATTTTAAAAATAATTTACCAAGTGCATTTTAATCTGGTGTAATTTGTTTTTCACTTATTATTATTTTTATGATTGTTATTATTATTAATTTATTATTAACAATTAAATGCACTAGAATTTACAAAACAGTAGCAATGACTATATATGCACTGAAGGTACCTAAGCAACTTGTACTTGGACCATAAACTGAATTTGTGCAGCAATTAGTGTCAACTGTTATGTTTCTAGTCACAATAAAAAGGCCAGGTGTTTTGCCTTGAAGCACAAATTCAACAGAGGCAGACCATGGAATATTGAGTTCATGACAGTCAGAAGAGATTCAGAATGTGAACCATTGTCCTTTAGTGAGAATATTGCCTACTATGTTTACATACTCCATTGATCAATTGAGTGACTAGAGGAAGGACTGGCTACATAAGACTAGACTTAACAGGATCCTCACACTCACAGGAGTCTGATCTACAGCTGCTTGACCAGTAACTCATCCATCAAAAGGCAACTTATTGTGTATCACTATACATTTTGTCGGATTACGTATTATGCAAGCAAAATATTTTAATCATTTTTTGCACATTAAGTTAAAAATGAATGGAGTATGATATCTACACATAAACAAAGTTACACTTCTTCCATATCAGTAATATCCTCCTCTTCCCCCTCTCCTTCACTGCTTGATGATGATGAATATTGTAAATCATGACTCAATATGTCCATACCACCACCAGTGACTGGTAACAAACTACTGGCTATCAATCCTTCTCCTTTCCTCCCTTTCTCTATATCCTCTTCATCTGTGCCTTCAACATCTATAGTCCCAATCTATACAGTCATTGGACAATCAACTATCATACTGTACAGTAGGAGATGAAATTTTGGCAAATTGCTGAATTTTGGTGATTGGCAAATTGTAATTTGGCAAATTTGTGGCCATATGCCATTGAGCATGCAAATAATGGCTCAAAATGGTAGATTTTTTATATTGGCAAAAATGGCTATGAAAATTCCAACCAAATTTAATTCCCTCCAAAATTTCCTGCTATATGTGATAATCTGTTTGTTTCCATACCTGAATACTGTCTTCACTAGTAATGATGACACTGGATTGTCCAGTAATATTCATGTTAGTACTAGTATCTTCTTCCTCTGCCTCCTCATCTCCACTCTCTCCTCCTAGTCCTTCTGGTTCATTTAGTGGTGACTTGTCAAAAGGTCCTAACTGGCTTTCATATTGTTCAAAATGTTCTCTTTCCTGGAAGGAGAATATGAGTAATGCATTAAGGCCCCCATACACTAGGCAACATGTTGCTAGCAACA